AACTTTTATAATACATTTTTTCCGGTTGTAAAAAACTCTGAGTGGATTTTTTGACGTTCTATCGATTGGCGTTTTTAAAATATCAAAAGTCTCAAAAATTTGGCTTCCCCCGTTATCCTATGTGCTGCCCATGGATTTTGGCCGATTTTTTTTCTTCTATACAAAATTTCATTTACATTATTTCGGGCAGAAAGTAATTTTCCTATGACAGTTTTTGACGCTCTACCGAATGGCGTTTTCAAAATACCGAAAATTTGGGAAATTTCGAAAGTTTGGCTACCCCCCGTTATCCAATGTGCCGGCTACCCACCATTACTTCTAAAATCATTACTTCTAAAATCATTACTTCTAAAATCATTACTTCTAAAATCATTACTTCTAAAATCATTACTTCTAAAATCATTACTTCTAAAATCATTACTTCTAAAATCATTACTTCTAAAATCATTACTTCTAAAATCATTACTTCTAAAATCATTACTTCTAAAAGTCATTACTTCTAAAAGTCATTACTTCTAAAACCATTACTTCTAAAAGTCGTTACTTCTAAAATTCTAAGCTTCGTTTTGGGCATAAATATGGCCAAACGTGCCGAAAAACTGGTAATCCGGCGCACCAAATTTTAGAAGTAACGTTTTTAGAAGTAATGATTTTTAGAAGTAATGACTTTTAGAAGTAATGATTTTAGAAGTAATGATTTTAGAAGTAATGATTTTAGAAGTAATGATTTTAGAAGTAATGATTTTAGAAGTAATGACTTTTAGAGGTAATGATTTTAGAAGTAATGATCGTACCCCCAATGTGCCCATAGATTTTGCTCAATTTTTATTTATTCAATACAAAATTTCCATTACATTATTTCGGGCTGAAATTAACGCTCTTTCTATAATTTTCGACGTCCTATCGAATGGCGATCGCAAAATCCAACAGTAATGCAAATTTCATATTAATGTGTGCCCCCCCCGCTATTCTATGAGTACCACGGGAACTACTAAAAACGTTTTTACAATAAACCTCTACATTTTATCACAAAATACCCCCCGTTACCTGGAAGCTCCAAAAAGTCTAAAGTGGTTGAAAAAATCTATATTTTTCATAATTCTAATAACAACCAGGGCTGAAAAGCCGCTACGCTACAACTCACGCTGAGGTTCCGGGGGCGGTGTTTGAGGCTGCTCCTGGGCTTCCTTTGGCTGCTGCGGGGTCGGTTCAGGCATTTTACCTGAACTCACTGAAAAGTAAATATAAAAATATACTTAAAACATTAGACCTTATATCAGATACTTTTATTCTTCATTAATTGTTTATGCTCTACTTTCTTTCTTTTTTTCTACTTTACTCTCTTGGACAAGGGTCGAAAAAGGCCTTACTAAATTATTTTAGCCAATGTAGCTCATTTGAGCAAATACGTTTCCTTTTTCTAACTTTTATTTTTAATTTTTAATTAATAATATAATTTCTTTTGATTACTAAATAGAAAAAATATTGCAAAAATTCTAAGCTGGGATTTGGGCATAAATATGGCCAAACGGGCCGAAAAACGGATCCGACGTACCAACTTTTAGAAACCATTTTAGAAGAAATGATTTTAGCAAGAATGATTTCGAAGTCATCAGTTTAAAAGTCATTAAGCTGACTCGATTCAAGCAGAAAACTCATCTTGGGGTTGAGGTTGGGGGTTCGGCGGGGGCTGGGTGCCTTCTGTAGCTTCGGTGGGCCCGGGCTCCGACGGCGTTGGCATCTTAAATGAATTGATTAATAAAAAAATATTCGGAAAATCAAGAATATTGAGCAATTAATGGAAAATATTCTAAAAACTTTTGGTACTTTAGGATTCGCGGGGGGAGCTAGGTACTCATAGGATAGCGGGGGGCGGGGGGCGGATAAAATAACGGGGGGGGAGCACTCATTATTATGAAATTTGCAATTACTGTGGAAAACTTATTGAAAACGCCAATCGAAACACGTCAAAAAATATACTAACATTCGACAGACATTGAAAATGCCATTCGACAGAGGGCCGAAAAATATACAAAGAGCTTTCTTACAGCCCGAAAAAAGCATATTTAAAAATGCTTTTACCATAAAGAAAGTTTGAGTGCCCCCCGTTATTTCCCCCACCGCTATCCTCTGTGTACCGGGGAGTTCCCCCGCGAATCCTAAGAAAACTAAACGTTCGATTAAATTTAAGATCGAAGAATAGAATAAAATCGAAAAAATAGAGCGATCCTTCGCGTGATGCTCCTCGAAGTGGTGCTCCTCGATGCTTCTCGCCTGCCGTTTTTCTATTGGGTCGGTCGTTTGCCGCGGGCGGACCCGAAAAGCTCTCTAAGTGGTTGATCTTCGACAAATTCTCGACCTTCCGGTGAATTCCTGGCTGTTTTTTTCCCTTCGGCCGCCGATCACCAATGCTTCCGGTCGGGAATATTGCAAAGAAATGCTTAGTAACTTAATAGAAGGTGTTTTATAGTGCTTTTGATATTATATAATTACAGTTTTACTAGAAAAACTATCTCAGAAACTTAAAAAACTAGAATTTTGGTCAAAAATCGGGAATTTTCGCGGAAAAATTCAGACGCAGGCACGTTAAAATCAAACAATTTCTGCACGGTTTGGTAGGTTTTGGTGGACTCTACTTCATGGCGCTGGACGCCATTTTGGTTCTGGACGGTTAGCGGGGGGTTTGCAGGGGGGACCAATTATCATTTTTCGACCTAATTTCGACTTTTCGACGAAATATCGAAATATCATCGACAGTTCAGCTCGGTAGGCTCTGCCTCGTGGCCTGGGACGCAATTTTTAGCTACATATTTTTATGGCCCAAAGCCTCAAAAAGCTGCTTTATGCGCAAGTTAATTCTTGTCCAGGCGCCGAAAAATCGCGGGTTTGGTTGAGAAAACGACGCATCTTCGCCATCTCGCCGTCCAGTGAGCAGACTTCTTGGCCCCTATAAGGGGCCTAATTGGCTCTAAGCTTTATATTGTATTTAAAAATACAAAAAAATATCGATTTTCAGAGCAAAAACTTCAAAGTTATGCAAATAATTTCGTTTAACGCTTTCTTCCTGGCAAGTAGCCAGCTTCAGTTTTTATTCAAAACTTCATTTTAGATGGAAAATTTGATTTTTATCGGCCCACACTGGCAAAATTTCGACTTTTTTAAAGGTTTTTCTGCTTTTAATATAGTTAAAACTTACTAAAAACAATGTAAAGACACTTTATATTTTATTGCTAGGCGAAAAATTGGGGAAAAAGTACCCGGGTAAAAATTGGCCCACCCTTGAATTCAAAAGAACCCTTTAATCACACTTCTCTTAATTCGGCCCGAACCCGCTAAGGCCTTTTGATTTCCGGTACTCCCCCCCTCCATATTACTCTTTTCTTTTCGGATCTAAAAATCTCCACTTCATTTCGTGATGTTGGAAATCGATGAATCGCGTGCCCCGGAGGGCATTACAACAAGACACCCCCGGCCATCCGATGTCCAGAAAAATCTCTGATTATTTCCAAGCATTTCGAGACTATTTGGCGGCGAGCGAGAGAGAGAGAGAGAGAGAGAGAGAGAGAGAGAGAGAGAGAGAGGGGTGGAGAAGAGAGAGAGAGAGAGAGAGAGAGAGAGAGAGAGAGAGAGAGAGAGAGAGAAGTAAACCGTGGCCGCATTAATAGTGATGATGCTCAATTCGCGAAAGGAATGCGAACATTGCCGAGTGGAGAAGGTACCGCATTCCGGAAAGATATTCACACATCACCCGGTAAACCTTGCCTGTCGGCATTAATCGGAATGCTGGTCGTGCTGGGGGAGTGTCTCGTAGTCTTCATTTACGCATTTACATGACGTGAAACCGTCGCGTCAAACGGTGCTGTTCAACGGGCCAGCTCTCGATTGTGGAAGCCCTGGTTCTCCAAATTCCCGTTGTATTCATACGATTCAAAAAATTGCAAAACTTATTTATTGCGTGAAGAACAGCTGCAACAGTCGCGATCGAGCAATCTCGTACAAAATACAAACAAAAACATATCAAGCTGATAGAAGTGATCGGAGTTTTTTTAGAAAAAATGGAGCGGAACCCGGGCTGAAATTGGGGGACACTAGAATTGATTGGAATAGATTCGGATGAGGGGATTGGCCAAGGCCGGTGGATTTTGGCGATTTTCAAAGGAGAATGAAGCCAAAATCTCGCGAAATTTATGTGCTAAAAAACTCTGCTAGTCCGCCCGGAATAGTCATCGTTTTTGGCTTTTTTGCTTGAAAAAAAGGCGATACAACGGTTGGCTTCATCGCGGCTTCAAAGAGCGAGAGGTGCTGGACTGTTAGCGGGGGGGGGGGGGTAAGCTGGGGGAAAACTAATTTTCATTCTTTGCGTCTGTAAGGTATAATGTATTTTTGTAGTGTTTTAATAATTCTGAATGCTAGAAAGCTATCAAAAATCGTAAAATTAAAAAAAAACATGTTTTTGAGTATTTTTTGTACATTTTCGATCAAAACGTCCAACTTTTCGAAATGTAGATATTTTTTAAAGAGCTTTCTATATCCAAAACCGCGTAAAATGCTATAAAATTGTTCAATTTGTGTGTAGAGCCGTACAGGATTACTGAAAAAAATCGTCTCTCCCCCGCAAACAGTCCAGTGCCGAGCGAGAAGCCCCTCTAAAAACAAGCCAAAACCCAGCCACAAGAAAATCGGCAGAAAGAAGCAAATGCTACAGGGGAGGCCTATTTACAGGAAATTTACAGGGGGATGTACGACAATGTGTAGGGTAAGGAGGCGGAACCGATAAAAAAATCTCGCGTAAAACTTCAGCTGCCAATAGTGTGTATATTATGACCGGTGGCAATGTGAGGAAGATATCTTACGTAGCGGTCGCGAAAATTGGCAAACGCCAGGTGAGAAAATACAGACTACAAAAGCAATCTCAAGCTCGTTTGGGGGGTAGCGTGAGGGCAGGACAGATTGGAAAAGGGCTAAAAATAAGCGAAAAAAAATATACGAATATACGATTAGTCGTGAACGGCCTTCGGGACGGTATTCAGGGTTACGGTGGCCGGAGACGTGGCCAGATCGGCGAGGCTGAGCGACGTGTGAGCCGTCAGCGACGAGAGCAGCGTCGAGTCGACCGGGGCCAAGCAGGACGGGCAGGTGAACGAGCTGGAATTGGGTAAATTAGTGAGAAAGAGCGTGCCAATTGTTTAAAAGTTTTTTTAGTAAAATCTAGCTATATGTCAAGTGCAAAAACGAGTTATAAAACCTTAAAACCTACTTAAAATGTTGGGCTTTTTGCATTATCGAGGTACAGGAGAGTCTTTTTTTCCTTTTCGTAGTGTACAATTTTTCAATATACCGCGGAAATGTTTCTAAACTTTTTCTTTTACCATTCCTAAACGCAAAAATTGTACAAATTGGTTAAAAAAATAGAACAATATCGATTTTTCGACCAAAATGGCCTACTTTTGGCCAAAGTTCAACTAAAAACTTATTACTCTAAACGCGTTTTCTTTCTATTCCTACTAAAAATAGTGAAATTTTGCTAACAAAAATAATTAAAAGGCCAAATCTTAAGTTACTCGGAATTTCTGAAATCAGAGGAAACAATGTGGTTCCTCCACCCCCCCGATAATGGGAAAGGACCAAATATTTTAAAAATATTTATACTAAAACACAGCTACATTTCAAGTGGAACAACTATATGGAAAACATGAAAACTATTAAAAAGCTAGAATTCTGGTTGAAAAGTGGGTAGTTGTAGTATATTCTCGCAAAAGAATGTACTGTTTTCCGGTTTCTAAGGATTAAAACAGTTTTAAATCCTTTTGGTGTCATTAAAAAAACTCGGTTTCTAAGGAAAGCCGTCTACACCCTGTTAATCCCAAAAAAAACCGGACTTTCACGCACCGTTGTAGCCAATCGTCGACGCATTGCTGGTGGAAGCAGTGCATGCAGGGCAGATATCGGATCCCGTCGCCCGGCTCGAAGTCCACCATGCAGATTGCACATCTGAAACATTCAAAAGTCCACCGTTTTTTTTGTTAGTATCAACTTCAAGTATTACTATACTATTATTCGATATTTGTTAAGAGTTAGAGTTATTTTACATTAGAAAAAGTTATATGAAGCAATGGAATAGAAATTTTATTTTTAAACGCAAGTTTTCCCTTTAAAAATACTCAGTAATTTCTTAGAAAACATACTCCGCGTCCTTCATATCCTCCGTAAACATGTCGGCCGGGATCTGCTCGAGCAGCCCGTCGATTCGTCGTTTTGCTGCGGCGGCGCCTGAAAGTATGGTTTTGACTAGAAAAATCTAGGTTTTCAACACAGGGTTTCACTCTCTAAAAACAAACCTTTAGCCTGCTGCTCGGCGGCACGTTGCGCTCGCATTTGATTGTCGTTGTAGAGCTGGTTGACGTAGGCGCTCTGAAAGTTCAACTTTGTAGTAGGAAGTTGTCATCAAAACTGCGTCCATCCAGTGAAAAACTCACACTTTGAGGAAGGGAGGCCACCGGATTGTCGAAACCTTGCAGACCGCGGTTTTGTCGTGTTATTGGAGCCTGAAAAACGATAGATTTCGTGGCTTTCACCATATTTTAGAGAGTTTCTCGTAATTTGAAAGGTGGCCTCCTAAAAAACTTTAGACGTCATCTTCATTGATATTAGCTTTGAGCAATAAAAACAAGGAAACGGGTTATTTTACGTTTTTTTGTTTGGTCGAAAATTAGATTATCGAAACTCAATTTGATGAAATACATTTTCGTGAACTTGCAATTTTCCTACATTACAATTTGCGAGGATTTCAATTTCTCGAAGTCACAATACGTCCAAACCTTAATCCGTCAAAATTTGAATTTGCCGAAATTACAATTTGCCAAAATTATAATTTGATGAAACTACAATTTTCGACGTTCGAATAAATTGGGAATTTCGACTTTCTGATCGAAAAACAAGGAAAACCAACCTCATCACTTCTGGAGCGCCCGAAAACGGGCAGACAGTTCCCCATCGTCAGCCACGGAATTTTCGGTGGATGTGGTGGAAGGCGGGGAGAAGTTGGACGAGGGGGCAACCTGACGAGGAAGCTATCCTTCCTTCAGGTCTGGTCGAGCGTCTGAAAAAGGTTGTTATAGGTAAGAAAGGAAAACGGTTCCCATCAAGGAAATGAGAAAAGCAATGGAATTGAGTGGAAAATGGATTAATTAATAGAGAGGCTAAGAAATTTAGCGAAAGCTGAGCGATCTCTTCGTAAAATTCAAAAAGAAGAGCTCGAAAACGCGTATCTCGCTAAATTTCCCAGCTTTCCCGGGCTATTTTTGCCGAAGAGATGGATTTCTTGGTCATAACCAAGCTAAAAAAACGCTTAGACAAATGATATTAAGCTTTTCCATCGCAGTAAGTCATATCACCAGCAAATAAACGTGAAAAAAAAACAGAATACAGTGTGAAATTGATCAATTAGTAAAGCCGATTACAATTTTTCGATCAACCTGCCGCGATCTCATCGTAAAAATACAAAATAACGGCTCGAAAACCGGGTGATAGACAGATTTGACAGCTTTTCCAGCCTTCAAACCTAGGCAACGAAATCCTCATCGAAAAGTTGGTTTTGGTCGGCCGGGGCGACGAGCCGCGGTGGTGACAGAGACGTAGTGAAGGGGGTGACCAGCTGATGGACAAAAAGTCTGCGCTCTCGCGGCCGGCCCGTCATTTCCTCGTCTCTCCTTCTCCAAATACTCTCCATTTCCGGCGTTCCATCGTCGACCATCTGCTCACGGGGGACGACCCGCCGAAAAAGGGGGAGCCGAGCAGATAATGAGCACAAGCGCTTCTTGAATAACAAGAGAGCAAAGTTGAGTTGGGTTCGGCACTAATAAAGCGATCTGGGTGACGCGGTAGAGCCTGGAAAATCAAGCAGTCTTGAAAATCAAATTAATCTGGTTTTCATGACATCAACAAAACGTTTTTAGGACGCTGGATTGAACTGGAAAGAACACTACATCGGCAACCGGCAGCTGGCCATCGTTATTAACTTAGAAAACAGCAAATTATCTAAAAAAACTGCTCGAAATATGTTCGATGGAGCTAAAAAACCCACCAAAACAACTGATTTTTTTACTTTCCACGGCTCGAATCGAATGCTGCTTCAATGAATAGCAAGATTATAGAAACACTCCATGGTTTTGAGCTGGAAATGCTCATAAAATAGCGCACTTTAGCTTTTTGAAACAAAATTTTTTAACTAACTAACAAATTTACAGGGAAAGCTGCTTTTTACAAAATTTGACCTTCTCGCTGCTCCAGCCATCGCGCCTTTATCTCATTTTTGCGATTTAACATTCATCATCTCCTCAGGGCTAGGCTTTTTACCCGTTTTCGCGTAGACGCTGCTGAAATTTCTCATGATTTCTGCGATAACTGCTTTCCTAAAGTCAACTGACGCCTCTTTATCACATTTTTGAGATTGAGCGTGGCTCATCTCGCCAGATCTCTTCTTTTTTCGCGTTTTCGTGGAAACACTGCCGAATTTTTGGTGATTGCTTTGACAGCAACCTTCGTAAACTCTGCCGTCCATAGATCAGCAGCTTCGCATTTTTGTACTAGCTATCTCCTGTTTTGTAGCCGCGTCTCTTTCGCTTGCCCCTTTTCGACTTTTTGACGTAATTTTTTTCTGAAATTTCGACGAAATGTTCACTTGAAGGGGATGGGCTTCATTCTATCTCTATCTCGTCGGCCGATCGGGGCCAAAACTCTCGTGAAAACACGCTTTTATTTCATAGCTTGACGCCAGAATGCCGATATGTTTGATCGCCGCTTTCGTAAACGATTGTCGGCCTATTCCTAGTGTCATTTTGCATTAAAGGTTTAAGGAAATTCAATTTTTTACCCACACCAATAGCCACCCGCTGCAGATGTCCATATGACCTCGGCCTAACGTAATTGTCATTTGCAATCTTTACTTCAGCAGGTTATACGCCTCCAGTCTGCCCTCTTTTCCCAATGGGTTGGCAAAGAGCCGGCTGGGGGGCAGAAGGTCCTCGACCTTATCCGAACACCCGGGGGGCCAGCCCTGTCTGCTCTCTCAGCCCTGCAACACTCTCTCGCCATTCATTCGCGCGCGAACCGCTCAGATTCTCCTCGTCCTCCCCTCCTACCACACCCCGGCACTACTTTTTCGGCCCCATTCCTTGACCGGTACAGCGATTTGAGCTTATTTCCTTCCAAAATTGTGCTTCGGTGGTCACTTCCCCTAAAACCACGTTGTTCTCACGCATTGCTACCGAGCAGTCTTGATTTTCCCATTGAAGTGTTCGGGCAAATTTTTCGAGTTTTTAGAAGCTTCATAGCCTTTTCCTCTTGATTTTCCGTTTGTTTGAACTTTCAAGAATTTGACCTACACTTTTGCGTACCTCTTTCTTTTTCATGTAATGTGCTTTTACCTGCTGATATTTTCCATGAAGTGCTGGACAGTAAGGATGGCTTTCGTGAAGGGCCAATTTTCAGTAATTATTTCACGATCGGCATGTTTGGTCCATGCGATTATACCTTGTCCCTCGTAGTCTTCCTTCGGATTTCGTTCCTTCCACTAGGCGCGATCAGCAACTTTTTGAAGAAGAGAAGGTGAAAAAGCCACGGTTTTTCGGAGCGGAGACCGCTCATTATCTGCTTGTTTTCATGGCCCCTAGGGTGATCTCTAAAGTCACAAGTCTCTCATGGGAGCATCTGTATTTTTTTTAAATGTCTTCGGTAGCCTGCTGTTACGTCCATTCTTCCCTTCCAGATGAATTCAATACTTTTTGGACCCCAGACCCAATTTATCATGTTCTCCAAAGCGTTCTGCTCCTTCCATTTGTCAGACAAACCTTATCTTTCTTTTTCAGGTCCATCGTGAACCATGTCGGACAACGAGGACCGCGAACACGACGAGACGCTGGAAGGTATAAATTTTAAGAAATTTGTTTATGACCAAGCGCGGGGTTGGTTGGTCGAGGTTGAGGCGTCGGCGTGTCCGTCCCATTATCCGAACACCCAGCTCCAAATGGGGGGATACTGGATGGAAAGGGGGGGTGAAGGACGGCGGATCGATATTCCACAGTTGCTTCACCCGGCCCACCACGGCGGAGTGACCCGCGGTGAGGGCCATCTCCGTCCGCGCCCCGGAAAGTAAATACCACGTTTGAGCGTCGGTTTTTGGGTGCTGCCTTTTCCGGGATTTTTCCGTTTCCTGGTGTCCTTTTTGGGGGGTTTAAAGGGGCTGGTAACTGGAAAAATTTTCGCCTCTGATTCGTCCTGGCTCCGGCCAAAGATTTTTTTGACTATCATTTGGCGGTTGATAAAAATCAAATTATGGCATCCCCGGTCCCTTTATTGCGCTACATCCCTGTCCCTAAATATTTAGTCCTTTTCTATTACTTTTTTTCAGAAGAGACGATGGAGGATGATTCGATCGTCGCCGACGACGGTGAAGAAGGAGAGGACCAAGACGACGAAGAAGTCACCGAGGCCGAGCTCTCCACCGCCGGTACGTTTGGGATTTTCTTTGTTTCCTTGGAGCTAACTTATGTGAAGTGGTCTCGAGGCTGTCGGAGAATTTCTGTCGAATGTGCTTAATACGAATATCCTGGGCTGGTTATTTGTGCTGAATTCGAAATTGGCAGTCTTGGAGAGCAAAATCATCGTTGACGAGTCACAAAAATTCCAAAGTTGTAGTCTGTAGCTTTTTGTACTTTGTAGTCTAAATTCAAATTTTTTAGCGATCACACCCTGCCAAATTCAACTCTTCACGGAAAACTAGCCCTGGATTCGTTTTTACGCTCATCGAGTGCCCCCGGGCGCAAAAATATCTTTTGAGGCCTTTGGAGCCACTAAACATAACTAGCTCCACGGAATTTATCCTGATTGCCTCACTAATGTTTTATTTTAGGCTCGTCAAGGTCCAAGTCGAAGAAGAAGGGCGGCAAGGGCAAGAAGGGCAAAAAGGGCAAGAAGAACATCGACAGCGGCGCCCCCAACCCGGCCACCGCCTCCTCAGACGAAATCGCCGAGTACCACGGCTTCACCAACGAGGATCTCGAATACAGCGACGAAGACTTTGCCACCATCACCTCGCTGCGGGTGCGTTTTCTTATTTTTGGTTCATTTACAGTATTTTAACATTACAAATATGATTTTTATAATGTTTTCTTTTAGGCGTGGACGACCACCTTCCGCCCGCGCCTCATGGAGATCAACCCGGGCGTCAACGCGACGAAGCTGCTGCCACTTCTCAACGCCAAGTATCGCGAATTCCAGGTAAAAGTTTTTGTGCGATTTCAAACCGTTTTTTTAGGAAGAAGCACTCAATTCGGGCAAGGCGCCGGCCAAGAAGGTGATTGGCAAATCTGCCGCGGTCGCCACGCCAGTTGCTGAAAAGACGGAGAAGGTGGCCCCGCTCAAGGTTCGCCTCTCCAACCGGAAGCGCACCCGCCGAAATGACGACGATGACGAGGGCGGTGAGCAAATTTAATGGCTTTTTTCGCCTTTCCGTTCGATCTATTTACGTTTTTTTTTCAGGCAACTCGGACCAAGAATTCGATCGCCTCCTCCGCGAACACGACAAGAACCTCGACGAGCAGGACCGCGAAAAAGAAGAACGCAAGGCCGAGCGGCGCCAGCAGAAGCAGACCAACAAGCGCGCCGAGCTCGAGAAGGCCGCCGCCGACCGGAAGAAGCGCAAAGAGGAGGGCACGGTACATTATTGACGGGTGGCTTTTTGATTATGTGAACTTTCAGCTGGAAGAGGAGCACCAGGACTACTGTGAGGCGTGCCAGAAGGGCGGTGAGGTGCTGCTCTGCGACACGTGCCCGAAGGCCTACCACATGGTGTGCGTCGACCCGGACATGGAGGAAGCCCCCGAAGGTAACTTTTGGGCGTTTGGTGAAATAGAGGAAATTGACTTCTTTGAAAAATTGAATTTGGAAATATTCAAAATTGATTGTCTTGTGGTCTCTACTGCGCCAAAATTCCCTCCGGAATTCGTGAATTCAAGGCTTTCCTCTAATTTTAATTTGGAGTATGAAGTGTTTTTACCAAATGTAATCATTTTTCAAATCTAAACAGCCTAAAAATTTTAAAAATACCAAAATTCTTAGAAAGTGGCGATTTTTGACTGAGAAATCTATTTTTTGTATTTTTTAATAGAAAATTGTTGTTTTAACGTTGTGAATATTAAAAAAGGCCTAGAAAGTTTAGTTAGTTTGATTAGTTCTGGGGATGTTGCTTTGTGCTTAATTAATTTTTTGTTTTCAGGCGTGTGGTGCTGCCCGCACTGTGAAGAAAACGGGCCCCCCGTCGAAGAAGTGGAGGAAGGGCGCAAGAACATGGAATACTGCCGCATCTGCAAGGAAGGAGGTGGAATGCTGCTCTGCGATCACTGCCCGTCGTCGTACCACCCGTACTGCATCTACCCGCTGCCCGAAGAGGTATGTTTTCTTTGTTTATAGCTTTTATTCTAGTATTTAGTATGTATTACTTTTTTGGATATTTTTGGATTTATTGAGATTTTTTAACGTATTATATTTTTTCATTTCCAGCTTCCCGGCGATGACGAGGAATGGGCGTGCCCCCGCTGCACATGCGAGCAGCCCAAGCAGAAGACCGAGCGCGTGCTGTCCTGGCGGTGGATACAAATCGAGTACCCGGAGCCGGAAGCCCGCCCAGCTGACGCCGACCCTACCGAGCCACGCCTGCGCCCGCCTCGCAAGATGGAGCCCCGTCGCGAGCGCGAATTCTTCATCAAGTGGAAGTACATGTCGTACTGGCACTGCGAGTGGGTTAACGAGACGGTGCTCGACGTCTGGTACCCGCACGTGCTGCGAATGTACTGGCGGAAGGCCGACCCGGAAGTGCCGCCCGAGGTCGACGACGGATCGACCGAGGACATGGACACCGGCCGCATCGACAACAAGGAGAAGGAGAAGAACCCGCACAACCTCGAGGAGAAATACTACCGATATGGGATTAAGCCCGAGTGGATGCAGGTACTGCTCTTTACGCGAGTTCTTTCTTGCGGGGTGGGGGCCTAGTAGCTTCTCTAAGTTACTAGGCCCCCGCCCCGCTTTTTTATTTTTAATTCTAATTGGGTTAGTAGTGTTTTTACCAAATTTAGCTGTTTTTCAGCGGCCTTATTGATTGAAAAACCTATATTTTGTATTTTTTTGATAGAAATTTGTTGTTTTTACGTTGAGGAACAGCAAAAAACTTTAGAAAAGTTTTATTGCATTATATTAATAGAATTTACCTGCTTTATTTTAATTATTTTTTACTTTCAGGTCCACCGGGTGATCAATCACCAAGAATACAGCAAGACCCAGTTCGACTACCTCGTCAAGTGGAAGGAGCTCGTCTACGAACAGGCCACGTGGGAACGCGACGACATGGACATTCCACTCTACGAAGACGCCATCCTCAAGTACTGGAGCCACCGCGAGAAGATGGTCGGCGACACACCGCCCAAGCACATCCGCAAGCTCATCGAGAAGAAGCGCGAGGCCAAGGGACTGCCGGCCACCGAGGACGAGCCGAGCACCAGCGACCGCAAGAAGGATAAAAAGAAGAAGGACAAGTCGGGCGGCGTCGTCAAGTACGAGGTCCAGCCCGACTACCTCGACGAAACCGGCGGCAAGCTTCACCCATACCAGCTGGAAGGTTCGTTTTTTATTTTCAGACTTTTTTATTTTTTTTTACACTTTGTATAAAACTTTTCTTTTCAGGCTTGAACTGGCTGCGCCACAGCTGGTCGAACGGGACCGACACGATCTTGGCTGATGAGATGGGTCTCGGCAAGACTGTGCAGAGCTCGACGTTCCTCTACACGCTCCTGAAAGAAGGACATTCGAAGGGCCCGTTCCTGGTGAGGCTTTGAAAATATTTTTTTTCTGGTTTTTACTGTCTTACAATTTTTTTTTGTTTTTAGATCGCCGCGCCCCTCTCCACGATCATCAACTGGGAGCGCGAGATGGAGTTCTGGTGCCCGGACTTCTACGTCGTCACCTACGTTGGCGACAAGGACTCGCGCATGGTCATCCGCGAGCACGAGTTCTCGTTCCTCGAGGGCGCCGTCAAAAGTGGAGCCAAGGCGAGCCGGCTGAAGACCGAGCAAGGCATCAAGTTCCACGTGCTCCTCACCTCCTACGAGCTGATCAACGTCGACAAGGTGAGATTTTGGCTAAAAAATTGTCAGAGTTCTTGAAATTGGGCGCGATGAATTCTGCCAGATCAGGCGTAAAAACACGCTTTTTCGGTAATTTTGTATTTCACATTTTTAACGACTACAAAAACGAGAATTTCAAAAAGTGGACTCTGTCACGTTTTTTTTGCCGCGCAACTGCCCAACAACTTTATTTTTTATTTTTAGGCAATCCTCTCTTCGATCGAATGGAAGGCTCTCGTCGTCGACGAAGCTCATCGCCTCAAGAACAACCAGTCACTCTTCTTCCGCACGCTGCGCGACTTCAAGATCGACTACCGCCTGCTGCTCACCGGCACGCCCTTGCAGAACAACCTCGAAGAGCTCTTCCATCTGCTCAACTTCTTGGCCTACGAGCGCTTCAACAACCTCGAGGCGTTCACCCAAGAATTCGCCGAGATCTCGAAGGAGGACCAGATCCAGAAGCTCCACTCCCTGCTCGGCCCCCACATGTTGCGCCGCCTCAAGGCCGATGTCCTCAAGAACATGCCCAGCAAGAGCGAGCTCATCGTGCGCGTGGAGTTGGCGCCGATGCAGAAGAAGTACTACCGCGCCATCCTCACCCGCAACTTTGAAGCCCTATCCGTGCGCAACGGCGGATCCCAAATGTCGCTGCTCAACATTCTGATGGAGCTGAAGAAGTGCTGCAACCACCCCTACCTCTTCGCCAAGGCCAGCATTGAGGCGCCGAAACTGAAGAATGGGATGTACGAGGGCCCGGCGCTGGTGAAGGCTTGCGGCAAATTGGTGCTGATGCAGAAGATGCTGCGGAAACTGAAGGACGGCGGCCATCGTGTGCTCATTTTCTCACAGGTGAATATTGGAAAGTTTATAGCTTTTCTGAGTTTAAAATTTGAAATAAGCTGTTTTTTAGATGACGCGCATGATGGACGTGCTCGAAGACTTTTGCGAGAACGAGGGCTACAAGTACGAGCGCATCGACGGCTCCATAACGGGACAAATGCGTCAAGACGCCATCGATCGGTTCAACGCGCCCGGCGCGCAGCAGTTCATCTTCTTGCTGTCGACGCGTTCCGGAGGTCTGGGCATCAACCTGGCCACCGCCGACACCGTGATCATCTACGACTCGGACTGGAATCCCCACAACGATATCCAGGTTTGGCTTTTCGAAATTTGCAAAATTCTCTTTTTTTTTGGGCCTTCTCCCGTGCCCATCGTATCGGCCAGCAAAACAAGGTGATGATCTACCGTTTCGTCACGCGCAACTCGGTGGAGGAACGGATCACGTCGGTGGCCAAGAAGAAGATGTTGCTCACCCACTTGGTCGTCCGCGCCGGCCTCGGCCAAAAGGGGCCCAGCATGAGCAAGACCGAGCTCGACGACGTGCTCAGATGGGGTACGGAGGAGCTGTTCAAGGACGACGGTGAAGAAACGGGCGAGGGCGGCGAGAAGAAGGCGGCCGAGAATGAGATTGTGTGGACGGACGACGCCGTCGATGTTCTTCTTGACAGGTTGAGTATTTTTATTTTACTTTTACTTTTTCTTTTAGAACTCGCGGCGAAGAAGACAAGAAGGAGGAAGTCGACGGCAAGAAGAAGGAGCACTGGACGAACGAGTACCTCTCGTCGTTCAAGGTTGGTTTTTTTGTGTTTCTTGCTTTTCTCTGTAACTTTTTATTATTTTTCTGTTTATAGGTCGCTACCTACACGACGAAAGAAGCCGAAGAAGAGGAGGAAGAGCCAGAGGAGCGCGAGGTGATCAAGCAGGCCGGAAACGAGGACGACCCCGACTACTGGGAGAAGCTCCTGCGCCATCACTTCGAGCAAGACCAAGAAGTCGAGAGCCAGAAGCTTGGCAAGGGCAAGCGCGTCCGCAAGCAGGTCAACTACGCTTCGGAGAACATGGGAGCCGACTGGAACAAGGTTCGTTTCCTAGATATAATTTTTCTATTCTTTTGCTTTTTCTCTTTTTGAAAACGATTTTCTACTTTTAGAAGCAACAAAACGACGACGAGGACTTCCAGTACTCGGACGGCGCTGAGGGCTCGGAGGGCGAGGGCACGGATGCCGAATTTGATGGCGAGAAACGACGCAAAGAGCGCGACGGTGAAAAGATGCCCCCACTCTTGGCAAAGGTATTGCTCGCTCCCAATTTTACTGATACTTTGCTGTTTTAGGTCAATGGACAGCTGGAGGTCCTTGGGTTTAACCCCCGCCAGAGAAGGGCGTTCTACAACGCCTACATGCGCTGGGGAATGCCCCCGCACGAGAGCTTCGCAAGCCAATGGCTGGTAAGGACATTTTTATTTGTCTTTTGTCATTTTTCGGGGCTCGGTTTTTGCTCTAGTACCAAATTTTCTGAAAAAAATCAAATCAAAATGCCGTTTTTTATTTTTCTTAATTTCCTAAAAACAAAAAAACGAAAATCCTTATAATACTCCAGATTTCGTTACTGGGATTTTTTATTTTAATTGTTTTAAACCATTTTTTCCAGGTACGAGATCTGAAGGGCAAGTCGGAGCGCGCCTTCCGCGCCTACAACTCCCTCTTCACCCGCCACCTTTGCGAGCCCGGCGGCGACAACCAGGAGGCGTTCAATGATGGTGTCCCCCGAGAAGGCATCAACCGCCACCACGTGCTCAGCCGCATCGGCGCCATGATGATGATCAGGCGCAAGGTGCAGGAGTTCGAGTCGGTAAGTCATTTTTTTGGTGCAAAAATTTTGGTTTTTAGTCAAACGGCGACTGGTCCGTGCCGGAGATTCGTGACAACATGCTCGAAGCGGCCGGAGCGAAAGAAGCAAAGGATAGCCAGACGAACAGCCGCGAAGCCAGCCAAGCCCGGGAGGACAGCGCATCTGCCGCCCCGAAACAAGAAGCCTCGGAAAATGGAGAGAACGCCGCCCCAGAAGGTAATTTTCAAATCTAATTACGATCTTTTTTCAACTTCTTGACCGAACTTTCTTTTCAGCCAACGGCGACGAAGCAATGGACACGACGGACGTGAAGCCGGATGCCGAGAAGACCGCCTCGAAGCCGCTCGATAAGAAGAACCGGCCGCCGTTCAAGTTCAACATCGCCGACGGCGGCTTCACCGAGCTGCACACGCTGTGGCTGAACGAGGAGAAGGCGGCGGTGCCCGGGAACGAGTACGAGATTTGGCACCGGCGTCACGACTACTGGCTGCTCGCCGGCATTGTCACTCACGGATACGGGCGCTACCAAGACATTCAAGCAGGTACGTTTTTGGGCTTGGCTACTTTTAACAGGAGTTTTTCCATTTACGGGTTTCTTTTTCAGATCCGCGCTTCTCGATCATCAACGAGCCGTTCAAGATGGAGCTGGGCAAGGGCAACTTTGCCGAAATCAAGAACAAGTTCCTGCAGCGCCGTTACAAGGTATTTTTACTTTTACATATTTATATCCCTGTTTCCAGCTTCTCGAACAAGCACTGCTCATCGAAGAGCAGCTTCGCCGCGCCTCCCACATCAACATTGTCAACCAGCCGCAGAACGACGGCACCGAACAGCTGGCACAGCGGTAGGTATTTTGTCATGACGATTTCGTTGTTTTATTTTTCTTGGTTCTGACGTTATCTTTTTAGCTTCGCCGACATCGAGAACCTCGCCGAATCGAACGCGAACATTGCGCGCGACTCGGCCGCCGGCAACCGCAACGCCAACGTCGTGCTCCACAAGACGCTCGCCCAACTCGAGGAGCTGCTCACCGACATGAAGGCCGACGTCTCTCGTCTACCCGCCACACTTCAGCGTCTACGACCCGTCACCGCAAGGCTGGGCATGACCGAGAGAGCGTGAGTTTATTTTGAAGAAATTGTTTTCGGTTTTTGGAAAAAATCTCTGGTTTCCTTTATCTTGAAAAAAACTTGGTCAAACTACTTTTTTTAGCATCCTACAACGACTCACCACAAAGGACACCGAGGCCGTCGCTGGGAAGAGCCCTTTGCCACCGCCCGGCCCGTTCTGCACGCCGACTCTCGGACAACAACTCGCCGGTATCCAGCCCAAGTTTGCCGCGCTGCGTGAAAAGGTTTGGGAAATATTTGGTATCTGAAACGTTTGTTTAGAACGGCGATGTGATGGACACGCCGCCGGAGTTGGACGAGAACGCCGAGAAGGAGGTGCCGACCCTGGAGAAGGAGGTGCCGGCGACCGAGGAGCCGAAGGAGGGGGTAAATTTTTGAAGTAGAAACGAAACGAAAATTATTGACTAGAAATTTTTTTGAGGTTTTTCATAGTGTTTGCCCTTGAAATATGGTCAGAAATTTGTTAAAAACTATCAAAATGCTTTAGTCTATCTAACTAACTTTTATTTACTTTTTTCAGATGGAGGTTGAGGAGAAGCCGGCGGCCCTGCAAGACGAGATCAAGGAAGAAGCCGTCGCCCCAGCCGCTGAAGAAGCCCCAGCCCCCGTCGCGGCCGCCGAGGAGCAGCCGATGGACTGCAGCGCCAAAGAATAAGCGGTACCCCCATTCCCCCATTTTTCTTTTCCGGTGTCCCCCCATTTATTTATTCCTCTCACTTTTCACCCGTTGGTCTCATTATTCACCCCCAAATGCATTATTATATCTCCTCTCTCCCCCTTTTGATATATCAGCCATTTCTTGATTTACAATTGGCTCAATAAATTTTAAACTTCAAAAGTTTGTTGTACGAATTAGGAAATGCACAGCTACGCGGTACTGCAGATATTTGAGTAACTTTGGTGAGAACACGCAACAAGACAATAATTAGCGGTTCGCGGCGTTTTTTCTGGATCTAGTGCGTCAGGTTCATGTCGTTTTGAATTGAGAATATACGCGAGATTCTTGGTTTCCAATTGAGCAAATACTTGAATACGTAGTTTCCAATTGCAGGCGTTTGTAAAATTCCGATTTTTATTTCGTGCAGAAAGATGGATTCATTTGCTGAAACCCTCAAAATGTTTTCACTGGACGAATCACGCGAAATTCTTAGTTTTCAATTGCGGGTGTTGGTGAGATTGTTAGTTTACAATTGAAAAAGTACGTGAAATTCTTCGTTTTCGATGCGTCAAGTTTTTTCCAGACTCGTTGTTACGTGGGGTCAATAATTTCCAATTGCGGAAGTTCATGCAATTCTCACTTCTTTATAATTGTTTTTAAAACATTCTATTTGTTCTCGTAAAGCTTTTCCAACCTACCTTCTACATTACCTTTTCAGCTTTCCTCAAACGCCATGGAAGGGCTGCCCGTCGATGGGCTCATTGTCATTAGAGGTTTGGTCGGTTATCCAGTTCAAAACGTGTTTTAGGATCGGACAAGTACCACAACGACCCGCTGCTGAGGTGGCTGGCGGCTCGCACGGACGACGTCTACGAGGTGACCCCACGAGAAGCCGTCGCATCGTTTCGGGCTGATCAGAGGTTTGCTTGTCATTTTTTTTGAAAAATTTTTGTTTAGAACCGTAATCGTGCCCGTCGACTACGACAAGCCTTTTTTGGATGATGTCCTCGCCTCGGTGCCCGCAACAACCTCGAAGAAAGCGCTCGTCTTCATCGGCTGGCTCGACTTCCTGGCGCTTCGACACGGGCTAGACGCGGTGCTGGCCGCACTCTACCGACTGAAACGTTGGTTTTTTTATGTCATGTGGGCTCTGGGGACCGATTTTTGGCAAATACACAGCTCGTGGAGGTCTAAAAGCCTAAAATTCAGGTTTTTTTCGTTTTCTCAAAGGAAAATCTTTTTTTATAAGCCCAGAAAAGCATAGTGACGGCATATCAGGGATTTTAATGGTTTTTTGTAACATTTGGCTAGATTTTATTTGGAAACCCTTTTTCAAAAACTAAACACTTAAAAAGTTTTGAGCATCGAGCAACTCACAAGCATTTTTGGGAGAAAATCGGGCATTTTTATATTTAACTCAGATTTTCCGAAGTTTTCGCGTTTAGAGGAGTAAACGTAGTTTAGAAACACTTCCTCCCGTTACTTTAGAAAAATCGGGTCGTAGAAATCCTAAAGATCCGAACACTTTTGTGTAATTTAGAACGATTCTGCGTGTGCGTGTGGCTGGCCGGGGCGACGACTACTGCTCAATGGCAACGTGTGGCCGCGGTGGCCGATGCGACCGTTGAGGTACGGGCACCCATGCCCGGCGGAAGTGAACGAGCCATCGTCCGGTTGACAAGATGGGAGCGTAATGGGAAGATACACAGCACGGTACATTGTTTGCGATATCTTCGGCTTTTTTGTTTGACCTTTGTAGCGATTTTTCATGCATTTTTGACTAGAAAACAAGTATTTTCGAAATTTTTGAAGCTTTTTTTGCGAGTTTTTGCTTGCTGAAACCTGTGTAAAAAGAGTAAGGCTGTGCCGAACGAGTAAATTACTGAGAAAAAGTGGGTTCCCCCTGCTAACGGTTTAGTACCCCAATGATCTTTGTATCACGCCTGGGTTTAGTCCTTTCTTTTCAGGAAGAAGAAATGACGATCGAACGCGACCCGCTGAAGCTCACCTTCAGGAGAGTGGCCAAGGAGCGCGCGATACCCGTGGAAGAGGTGCCTTGTTTTTATTTGGGTTTTTGTAAAGCAGTTTTTTTAGCCGGAGCCCCAGCAAACGCTCACCACATCGTTCGACATTGGGCTGAGCTTGAAGGAGTCGGAAAGGTATGAAAACGGCTTCAATACGTTGAAAAACGCCCATTTTAGGGCAGCCAAGGACGCGCTTCAACTGCCCTACACGAAGATGCAGAGCGAGCAAGGTTGGATTTGCCATTATTAGTCTAGGTTTTTATTTGTCTTGTTTTTCGGGTGCAGGAAATCTCATTTTGGTTTTCATTTTGGCTATATCTATAGCCTACTTGTAACATCGTAGCAAGTATGGCAGTAGTTTTGGCTATATTTGAAATGAAAAACTATCCAGAAAACTTTGAAAACGGTTTAAGACGTTGTAAATTTGGTAGAAAAACGTGAAATTTTGATGAATAGTAAAAAACAGTTTAAAAACAGTAGTGCTGCTTAGGTTAGAAAAATTAGATCCCATAGCCTTATAGTTTGTTTCTAACTTTACAGTTAATTTTCTTATTCCAGGCCTCGTCGACATTCGGATGAGCAGTGGGCGGAAGGTGAAGGTCGGCGGCCAGATCATCTACACGCCCGACGACGGCGACGACCTCGACGACAGCGACCCGGACGATGATCTGAACTTGTAAACTACCCTCCTCCTGCCCCGTTTCATATGTCTTTTCCGTCTCTCTGCCCCGTGATCGGTTGTATTTGTTGATTTCTAGCTTGTTACGTTGTGTATTTTTGATTGTTTTGCCGTGCTTTTCAGATTTTTTTTGACGATAAATCGTTTTGACTCGGTGGTAAAGATATTCAGAAGGATCTATCAAGTTTTATAGCTTTGTATCTATCAGGTTGGAAGGTAAGTCCTGTCGTCGAGATTTTGAAAGGCCGGCTAAATTCTTAGATAGCTCCATTCTGGAAATGCAATATGTCATTTTGTAGCTCTGGCATTGGCGTTCCGGGAGGAGGGTCCTAGACCGCGAAAATTACGGAAAACCGAGATACAGGCCCGAGAAGTTTTTGGAAAAATTAAGCAAAAGGGTTTTTGCAAGTTATCTCTGCATAATGCATTGCATCTCTGCATTTGCATGCGATACCTTTAACGCCAATCGATAGCTCTCGAGGAATAGATATCGATAGATGTTGAGATCGGCAAAATTGGACACTGGATGGCCGAGATATGGCCTCTTGAAATTTGGTCCATTTCTTAGAACTTTTCCCGAAATCCCATACATTTTGTCAAAATCCACCCGGCGCGTCCAAAAATAAAGCGGCATTTTTCGCTACAGGCCCAGAGCTACAAAATGACATATCGCATGTCCAGAATGGATCTATCTACGAATTTAGCCGGCCTTTCAAAATCTCGGCGACAGGACTTACCTTCCAACCTGATATTTTGTTGAAGTACGAGACTTGGCTTTTGAAAGTTGACGCTCCTCCGTTGCACTCTCATCACCGTAACCCGGTTTTGGGATGGGCGATTTGGCTGCTAAAGCGCTAGTGAGGGGAACCAGCGAGCTTTTTCGGCTATAGAGAAAATGTTATCATTTGGTACACGGAAAGTGGGGCATAGTCTCGACCAGAATTGTTTCACTTTCGGGTCTTCGAAAGAGTTGTAGGTCAAATGGCCTCGGGACACAGGGTCAAAAACTAAAAAAAAAACGATGGAATCCTTAAAACCACTACCTTATCCCTTTCGGCTTCTGTGAGAGGCATCGCTGCCCCGGTGACGCCTTGCTCCGATAACATCTTCTCGAGCTCGCCACAATGACCTCGCTCTGCATGTCGCCATAGCTTTCCGTAGACTGTTTTGATGGGAGCGTTGATCCCTTCCTCACAAAATAAGCATTTGTAATTTTGACATTTTGCGGTGGAGTTTGGCAATTTTTCCGCGATGCGCTTGAAGAAGGTAATACCTAAACAGTTCGATCACATCTAACGGGCTAAACAGCGCGTTCAAGTCGCCAACTTCGGAAATCTATCTCGAGGCCTACGTGACACAATTGGTTGAAACTTTGTGACTAGGCCTAATTTGAGATGGCAATACTTTTTTAATACATCGCGAAGGACGAAAATTAGCAGAACCCAGCTAATCTGCATACAGGGTGCGTCAAAAAAAGCCAAGTTTGCACCAAGATATCTCGCTTATAGTAGAGAATCGAAGGTACGTTACCATGCCAGTATGCTTAAATATGGTGGGTATGAACTTTAACACAACTTGACTTTATGCGTGTTTTTTCACGCGCGCAATTTAACTCCAGATGCTAATCAAAAATGCAGAGGACAGATATCTATGATTTCGATTTGCTAAAATGAATTACCGATACATAACTATCACCTTCATCTTTAAATTTTCATAACTAAACATCATAGATAGTGATTCAACTTTTTGTTACTTGACTTCCTGAAAACTTATCGATTTTACTTTCATGTTCCTTGGAAAAAATTGATTTGCATTTTTAGAAACTCTGCATAAGCGTTTCCGTAGTGGAGTGGTGGATGGCCAGGTCGCCGTTTTCTCAAAAACCAGGGTTCAAAAACCGCTTCGCGGCTTCTCAACCCTGGCCCCGTCCAGGAGCTGCGAATGTCCTCAATTTGCATGCTTCTCCCTAAATTCTAGCAAGAAAAAACTGAAAAACAGCTCCTCCCTACTTCCGGCGCATGCAAATTGCCTCCTAACAAAGAGGTTTTTGGAAATCTTTACAAAAACTTATTTTTAATAGCGAAAACAGCCGATTGTCCTAAATCTTATATGTGTGCACTCATCTCGGGATCCTTACGCAACTAATGACGTATCATACGTACCATAAAAACCTTCCCTTGAGGCTGTAGGTGCGGTACATACTTACGGAAGTTGCATGCAAATATACACACACACACACACACACACACACACACACACACACACACACACACACACACACACACACACAC